TTGCCATTTATGTTGATATTAAGCTCTGTTGAGTCAGTTCCAACTCAGTTACCCACCCTATGGACAACAGAATGACACACCGCCCAGTCTTACACCACCATCCTCACAATCGTGGCTGTGTTTGAGCCCATTCTTGCACCCTCACCATTAAAATTTTACCCTTAACAAAAGTTATTTTTGTTTAAATACAGGATTTCTGAGACTTCAAAAGTTCAAAACCAGGGATTTTTCATAAAATATTTTTAGAGAAAAATCTTTATTTTGCTTTTGTTTCAATTTGATGAGAAAGGAGATTTTGGATCAGGAAATAGGCAGTTTTCTCTGGACCTGCTGTCAGAACCATGCAGTCAGCTGCCAGTTTGTACCCTTCTGAGGAAGATGGTCAGCGGCCTGTGGTTATCATAGAGGAACGTCCTAGCTGAGAAAGTGAAGAACAATCCTTTAGTTTGGCTTTGGGGGAAAGGTCATACTAACCCTCACCTTAGGGATCACACTTTATCAAATAATCTTCTCAGGTGAGTGGCCCCATCTAACCTCAGTTTAGTTAGGTTTATTTGGAATAATACTAATGTTAGCAAGGTTACAGATTTTGTTGTTGCAGGAGCCAGCTGATCTTAAGTCCTTGAGTTCAAATATGACAGCCTAAGTTCAAATCTACCCTTGATGTTGGTCATTTGTCCAAGGAACAAGGATTGGCTCCAGGAGACTCTCTGTGATGTTTGTGGGTTGTGACCAAATGTAGCTATTGGTCACGGGAGGTGCTGAGTCAGTGTCACTCCATCACCATAACTAGAAAACCAGCCTGAGTTCAAATATCAAGGACAAGTCTTAGGACCTTCTGCAGGGAGAGTCAACTAATGAAGTGCCTACCATGCAAACTATCTTGGTCAAAGCTTTTTTATGTATGAGGAAACAAAACCCATTCAAGTTTAACCACATTATCTTAGGAGTGTGTGTGTGTGTGTGTGTGTGTGTGTAGAAAATCTTGTGGACACTCAAAGAGAGCAATGCATAACACAGCCACACAGGAACTACACTGCAACCAGAATTGGGCAGGACTTTCAAGATTTGAGGTCTCTCTATCCCTGGGGCTGCATGTCAGACAGTATGACACAGGATAAGGGCTCAGGCTATACCTTAAGGCAGATGAGAGTTCAAATCTTGGCTCTGCCACTACCAGTTGAGTGCTTTGGGAAGATGTCCTAGTTTTCTGTGTCTCTAGAATATGGTTCCATCTAGACTGCTCCCTTGACATGTGTATTAGTTTCCAATTGCTAGTGTGATAAATTACCACATATTTAGTGGCTTTAAACAAGACACATTGATTATTTTACAGTTCTAAAGGTCAGGAATGTAAAATCAGTTTTGCTGAGTAAAATCAAGATGTTGGCAGGCTGCATGCCTTTTGGAATCTCCAGAGTAGAATCTGTTCTTTTATCTTTTCCAGCTTCTAGAGGCCACCTGTATTCCTGGGCTCCGGGCTCCCTCCTTGCATCATTCGGATCTCTGCTTCTGTTCCCACATCTGTCTGTCGGGCTCTACTGTTTCCCTCTTTCTCTCTGTGATTTAATCAGGCCCACCTAGATCATGCAAGATAATCTCTTCATCTCAAAAGCCTTAATTTAATCACATCTGCAAAATCGTTTTTGCTGAGTAAGGTAAGGTATTCACAGGTTCTGGCAATGAGAATGTGGACATCTTTGGGGGAGGGGCATTATTCTGATTCTGTGACAAATTGTGACCCCTACAATGAGGGTTAGGACCATCTTCCCTCCAAAGAGAGTCCTTGTATGGTGCAAGCAATAAATACTATCAGCTGGTAACTGAAAGGTTGGAGGTTCAAGTTCACCCAGAGGTCTCAGAATAAAGGCCTGGAAATCTGTTTCTGAGAAACCAGCCATTAAAAACCCTATTGAGAACATATACTGATACATGTAGAGTCATGGTGGATTGGCATCAACTCCCTGCAGCTTTTTTTCCCCCCAGAGTTAGAAGATCATCCTTCAGTTTCTCAACTATGATGTCCCAACCCTGGTAACCTTCCACCTTTGCACCAAGAATCCACTTACTGTTCTTCATTAATACCATTCTCTAGGGTCACCCCTTCCATAAATTCTTTCCAAACAACTTTCCTTCCACTGCTGTCTCCCTTCTCCTAAATCTTATTGGACTTATAGTCAAGGACACAGACTTGCTATCTTAAATTTTCTCTTTCTTCTGTAGGTTATTGTTGTCTCTTCAAGAAGACAAAGCTTCTAAGAGGCACAGGGTCTGTGTTGAACTTTTGTAGTCTCTCATCCTTCAAAATATTAAGATGGTGTTCAGCAAGTGATATTATATAAATACTGGTTGATTATTATTTACAATAACAAGAAAATGCTACCATTTATTGAGCTTACCATGTGTTCATTTAAGCTGGATTCAGAAGAGGACATGGAATGAGCAGTATCATTGCTGATGTCAGATGGATCTTAGCTGAAAGCATAAACTACTGAAAGATGTTTACCTGTGTTTTATTAACTATAAAAAGACATTCAGCTGTGTGGATCATAATAATTGTCGGTAGTAGTGGAAAGAATGGGAATTCCAGAACACTTAATTGTGCTCATGCAAAACCTGTACATAGACCAAGAGCCAGTCATTTGAACAGAACAATGGGATACTGCATGGTTTAAAATCAGAAAAGGTTTGTGTCAGGGTTGTATCCTTTCATTATACTTATTCAATCTGTATGCTGAGCAAATAATCCAAGACTCTGGACTATATGAAGAAAAGAATGTGGTATCAGGATTGGAGGAAGACTCACTAACAACCTATAATATACAGATAAAACAACCTTGCTTGCTCAAAACGATGACTTAAAACACTTATTGATGAAGATCAAAAACTACAGCCTTCAGTATAGATTACACCTCAACATAAAGAAAACAAAAATCCTCACAACTAGACCAATAAGCAGCATCATGTTAAAAGGAGAAAAGATTGAAGCTGCCAACTGTTCTGGTTACCTGGTGCCACTCTAACAGGAATATACCACAAATGGGATGGCCTTAACAAACAGGAGTTTATTCTTACAATTTGGAGGCTTTAAGTCCAAGTTCAAGGTGCCAGGCTGTAGGGGGCTGGGTGAAAGCCCCTCAACCTTGGGGTCCAGCTCTGCCTCCTGCTCCCGGCCCACTGGAGCTAGAGGCATTTCTTTATTCAGACAGCCGCTGGCTGCTGAGGCTGAGAAGCCCCAAGGTTGACAAGGAAAAAGGCACAGTCCCAATGTTACCAAACCACATGGCAGGCCATTAACTTAAGTCTATTATAAGTCCCAAGGTTGGCAGAGCATAGCAGGCTGCTGAGCAACAACATGGCTATGTGCAGGGTCCAAGCATGCCATAGGCTAGAGACCATTCCCAAGGCTTCTCCTCAAATACAGGAAGCAGACCACATCCCCAAAGGCAGCTACTCAGCTGCTTGTGGTAGATCTCACCATGGAGTTGATTTCCAGTCTCATCATGGGAAATGACTACCACCAGCTGCCCAGCCACTCAACCAGGCCCAGCCAAGTTGACACACAAACATAACTACCACACCAACTATTTTATTTTACTTGGATCATCAATCAATGCCCATGGAAGCACCAGTCAAGAAATCAAAATGACGTATTACATTGGACAAATCTACTGCAAAAGACCTCTTTTTGAGGTCTGACATCAAAAGCAAAGATGTCACTTGGAAGACTAATGTGGGCTGACCCAAGTCATGGTATATTCAATTCCTTTATATGCATGCAAAAGCTGAACAATGAATAAGGAAGACCAAAGAAGGATTGATGCATTTGAATTATGGTGTTGGTAAAGAATATTGAATATACTATGGACTACCAGAAGAATGAACAAATCTGCCTTGGAAGCATAGCCAGAATGCCCCTTCAAAGCAAGCATGATGAGACTTTGTCTCACATTCTTGGGACATTTATAAAGAAGTACCAGGATAAGGACATCAGGCTTGGAAAGCAGAGGGTCAGTGAAAAAGAGGACCCGTAAGAGGAGGGATTTACACAGTGGTTGCAACAATGGGCTGAAATATAGCAATGATCGTGAGGATGGCACAGGCGGGTAGTTTTCCATTCTGTTGTACACAGGGGGGCTATTAGTTGGAACTGACTTGACGGCACCTAACAATAGCAACCATTTGTTAGTTACTCTACTCAAACATTACAGGCATTGTCCAATTCAAACTTTACAACTTGTATAGTAAGAATTATTATGCTATTTAACAAATGGAAAAAAAAAAAAATGAGGTTCAGAGAATTAGGTAACTTGTTCGTTCTTCTAGCTAGTACAAGTTAAAGAAGGATTCCAACTGCAGACTATTTACCTTGATTATGCTACGTGGCAACAGTAAACATGATCCCTGATTTCAGATGGAACAAAGAGGCATGCCTGACCCGATTGTTTGGAGCTTCCTCAAAAGACACACAGGTAACATTGCAAAGAATGGGAATTCCAGAACTTTTCTCTGAAAGCAATTCTGATATCCTCCCTGCCACTTCTTTGAGAATCATCCCTGAAATGAGACACCCTCAATTATGTTGCCAGGGAAATAAAAAGTTGAGAATGGTTATTCTAAAATAAAAAAAACAAAACAGAACTCACTGCCATCAAGTTGAATCTGACTCATAGTGACCCCTCCTTGGGTTTCCAAGGCAGTATCTCTACAGAAGTAGATTGCCCAACATTCCTTCGGAGGAGTGTCTGGGTGAGTTTGAACCACCAGCTTTCCTGTTAGCTATTAAATGCCTTAGGCACTGCACCACCACAGCTCTCAATTATAAAATAAGATTAATTTATTCACTCATTGAATACATACTCAGGGTCCGCTATGGATGCCATGAGTAGTCGCTCACTTGATGGTGACAAACAGTAGCAACAATACTGGAAACAGGGGCATTGGTGGTTCAGTGGTAGAAAAAGGAGAGCACTGGTGGTTCAGTGATAGAATGCTCACTTTCCATGTGGGAGATCTAGGTTCAATTCCCAGCTGTTGGATCTCATGCACAGCCACTACCCATCTGTCAATAGAGGCCTGCATGTTGCTATAATGTGAACATAGTTCAGAAGAGCTTCCAGACTAAGACAGACTAGATCTGGCAGTATGCTTCCAAAACTCAGCCAAAGAAAACCCTATGGACCACAGTGGTCCAACTTACAACTTATCATAGGGGTGGCATAGGACTTGGGAGAATTTTGTTCCATTGTGCATGGAGTGGCCATGAATTGGAGCCAACTACAGGGCAGCTGGCAGCAATAACATACTTAAAGCACTACTTAGGGATCATAAAAGACACAGAGCTTGGATTATGTTAACATGGAACTCTCTTTATTGTTGTTACATGCTGTTGAGTCGGGTCAGACTCATAGCGACTCCTTCTTGGATTTCCAAGGCAGTATCACTACAGAAGTAGATTGTCCATCCTTCCTTCCAAGGAGTGGGTGGTGGATTTGAACCTCCAGCCTTCTGGTTAGCAGTCAAGTGCCTTAGGCACTATGCTACCAGAGCTCGCAGAACTCTCTTTGGGAGTGAAAAGTTCAGGAAGTATGTGCAGTAGGTACAATTAAGTGCCATTTTTAAAAAAAAAGCTACTTCTGACAGGAATATAGGCTTCATGATGGAGGTAGCATTTATTTGCTACTTAAAGTATGTGAACATGTAGAGACATAAGAGGAGGGATATCCATCCAGAGGCACAGAGGAGAAATCATAAACAATTCGGCTTGTGTCACTGAGCAAGGACAATGAAAAGGTGTATGGGAAATAAAGCTGTTAAAGTGAGTTAAGACAGGATTATGAAGGCCTTGAATGCCAAGCTCAGGAAGTTGGGTTTGGTGATTTTAAAACAGGAAAATAAAATAGTGAAAGTAATATGGAATTTTATCAGATAACAATGTCCATAGTAGGTTGAATGAGCAAAATATGGACAGAGGGAAATCAGGAATGGACATGAGGTTTGGACTCCTTTGGTAGTTATGAGGATGAAGTTGTTAGTTAGGTGCCGTTGAGTTGGCTCTGACTCATAGCAACTCTATGTACAACAGAACGAAACACTGGCCAGTCTTGTGCCAGCATTATAATCCTTGCTATACCTGAGCCCGTTGTTGCAGCTGCTGTGGCAGCCCATCTCATTGAGGGCCTTCCCCTTTTTCATTGACCCTCCACTCTACCAGGCATATCCTTCTCCAGAGAATGGTCCTTTCTGACAACATGACCAAAGTTTTGTTGATGACCAAAATATGTGGAACAAAATCTGGCCATTCTTGCTTCCAAGGAGCATTCCAGCTGCACTTCTTCCAGGACAGATTTGTTAGTTCTTCTGGCAGTCTATGGTACTTTCAGCATTCTTCACCAACACCACAACTCAAAAGCGTCCACTCTTCTTTGGTCTTCCTTGTTCATTATGCAGCTCTCACATGCATATGAGGTGATTGAAAATACCATGGATTGGATTAACCGCACCTTAGTCTTTAAGAAGACATCTTTGTTCTTCAGCACTTTAAAGAGGTCTTTTGCAGCAGATTTGCCCAGTGCAATATGTCATCTGAGGTCTTGACTGCTGCTTCCATTGGTGTTGATTGTGAAACCAAGTAATATGAAATCTTTAACAACTTCAATCTTTTCTCCATTTATTTTGATGCTGTCCATTGGTCCAGTGGTGAGGATTTTTTTTTTTTTCATATTGAAATTTGGTTTAATTTGTTGATTTTTTTTCTTTTTGTTGAGATGCAATCCACACTGCAGACTGAAGTCTTTAAACTTCATCAGTAAGTGCTTCAAGTCATCTTCACTTTCCAGAAGCAAAGTTGTGTCATCTGCGTATTGCAGATTGTTAGTGAGTCTTTTTCCAATTCTAGTGCCACTTCATGATGGGGATGAAGAGGAGGTAAAAATGCCAAAATACAATGATTGACCAGGCAGCTGATTAAGTATAAGGTCAAAGGGCAGGCAAAGGATGGGTGATTCTGAAATTTTACCACACTTAACTCACTAAGTAGGAAACAGAGAAGGAACAATTTGGAGAGAAAATGATGCGTACCTTTTCAACATATGCTTGGATTTGAAATACCAAAAGGTTATGCAGGTGGAAAAGATACATGCATTATTTCAAACTAGGCAAGTACACTCTTGTGATGGAAATATTCATGTGCCACAGCAAAAAGTAAGTAAAGTGTGAAATTGGAATAATTAATTTAAGAGGTAAGTTTGAAGGCAGAGAAGGATATGCTTTGGCAAGGAATAGGCATGATGAGATATGCCAGAGGAGTTTTAAGGGAAAATTCTGGCCTTTAAGGAAACTAATAGAACAGCTTGTCTGCTTCATTTATAGACCAAAGTTTGGAGGGAAGTACTGCACTGGGGAAAGAAGACGTTATCGCTTGTGCAACGTCCATTCCTGCCGCTCAGAAGCACCTACATTTCGGCAGATGCAATGCAGTGAGTTTGACACCGTTCCGTACAAGAATGAATTCTATCACTGGTTTCCTGTTTCTAATCCAGGTAAGGGGCACTATCAGTGTATCTCAGATCTTGGACCACAACATCTATCAGAAAGTATTTATATATTAGGGTGTATGTGATGTCCCACAAAGCTCACCAGAAAGAGAATTGTACCATTAAGACCTGACCTTCAGGTGTTGAATATTTTAGAAAAGTGAAGCATTGGCCTGTTAAGTTGGTCAGTAAACTTTGAAGGCTGAGAATATCTACTTCTCTGCTGGGCTTTGGGGGGTGAAAGAGGAGCTTAGCAAGCATAGTTACTGGTTCAAAAACAACTGAGATGCAACTGAGTGGCAAATTGGGCATGTAGGAATCCAATATCTAATTGCTGATGAAATTGCTTCTTGATGGATTATGGAGAACTCATGATGATTTCAGCAGACGTTCAGAAAAGGTCATCAGAGGTTTGGAGTAGTTTGAAGAGGGCTTGAAAGGAGGCAGTTGATGATTTGAGCACAAGTAATCTTTCTTTTGGTAGAAGGAAATGAGAAGACATTCAAAGTAGAGTCACTCCAAGTGAGAGGAAAATAGCACTAGGGAAGGCAAGGTGGGGGGGATGCCTTCACCAAAATTGAATGAGAGTCAGCTGTGGACCAGATGTCACTATTCCATGTGGACAGGATAGCACAGGAAGGGTAAAAAGTAAAATTAGGCATCTGAAGGATATATAGGTCTCTAGGTGACAGTTTATTCTCAACTACTGACCAAAAGAGAGCTCTGGTGATAGCATAGTGCCTAAGGCACTTGACTGCTAACCAGAAGGCTGGCGGTTCCAACCCACCAGCCACTCCTCAGAAGGAAGATGGGGCAATCTACTTCTGTAGTGATACTGCCTTGGCAACCCAAGGAGGGGTCGCTATGATTCTGGTCCAAGTCGACAGCACATAACAACAACAACAACAACTGACCAAAAGGTTGGTCATTTGAATCCAGCCAGCAACACTACTTCTGTAAAATTACCAGGGCTTTGAACTGGTTCATTCTACTTCAACCTCCTGCTGAGAAGTTGCTTTTCCACCTCAGATACACTGGATTAGAATCTACATTTTAACAATATCCCTTGGGTGATTCTTATACCTAAGAATACATTTGAATTACCTAAGGATCTTGTGAAAATGTAGATTCTGATTCAGTACTTCTGAATGGAAATGCAGATTCTCAGTAGGGGGTCAAACCAGAATGTACCAATAAAACCCTCAGGATTGTAGCCACTGAAAATTCTATAGAGCAGTTCTACTATGACACACATGGGTCACTATGAGCTGGAATCGACTCAATGGTTTTGGTAAAGGATGTGCATCTGAGGAAATGGAGTTAGAGAATGAACTAGCAGCCTTGGCAAAGCTTCCTCTGAGTGAAGACAAATTACACAACTCCCCTGAACATGCAGATAACTCAATGACCATTAGCTACAGATTAATATCAAAAACATGTTATCTGTGTTATTTGTTGTTATTTGAG